GGCCTAGCTGTTTATAAGGGCCCGGCCCTGCCCCCTTCTGGTCACGTGACCAACCTGGTTGCTCCAGCAACCCGCACCTGAGCTGCCAATCACCAGGGGAGCCAAGGGCGCGAGAGGCGCAGGAGCAGGCATCGAGAGCGCCAAGGGTGCGAGAGGCGCAGGAGCAGGCTCCGAGAGAGCCAAGGGCGCGAGAGGCGCGGGAAGCGCGTGGCATAAAGACCCCGAGAAGGGGCAAGGGGCCAGGCCTGGCTGCGTGCCACCTGAGCCCCAGGTACGGCTGTTGGCACGAGACAGGCCCCGTGAGGGGCAAGAGCGCAGAAGCAGGCTTCGAGAGATCCAAGGGCGCGAGAGCGCAAGAAACGCGTGGCATAGGCCCAAGGGGAGCCAGCCTGCAAGAGTAAAGCCCAGGAGGGGCTAGTATAAGGTTGGAGACACAAGAACGTCCAGAATAGCTGCGAGGCTTGGGGCGTGCTAAAGGGGAGGTAGGAGGCACACATAGCCCATAAGGCTGGGGTGCACCAAGTCACCCTGAGATCACAGGAGATCCTAGGCAGCCTCCCATCATAACTATAAAGATCAAAGACGTGGCGGGCGAGAATTAGAGGGTGCTGGATCTCCTAACTGGCACGGCAGGGGGGCCTAGCAGGATCACGGCCGCCCATAGGCCCCACCCCGTGACAACATGCATACCCACTACCACCAATTATTTCACAATTTTTGATAGCACTGCTCCTTAAACTGAAAAGTATCCAGTATCCACCCTATGAAAATATTGTTGTAACATAATTTTTCTTTTAAATGTTGATGTTAAATCACTTTAGATGCAGGATGATAGCTGTGTCCACTCTATCTTTGGGCCAGAATTCCAAATACCTTTCTATTCTTGTTAAATTCTACGCATGCAGCAATTTGCACTAATAAAAATCACATGTATGAATTTACCCAGGGCATTAGGCACATTGTTATGTGATGTTCACTCCTAGTTGCCTGAAGCCACACTCCAACTTTGTCTCCCAACCAGAAAAACCCATAGAGAAAGCCAAGGCAAAAAGCAAATTCTACAACATAAATATCTATAGAACTTGACAGAGGTAATAGGCTGTCATGGAATAGACCTGGTGTGAAGTTTCCTAACTGCACAGTTCCTGGGAGAGAGACATATTAGGTCTAGGGAAGAGGCAGCATATTAGCCATAGAAAACCAATAGAACTACAATATTTTAATATTATAAAAGCCTAAGTCTGCCTGTCTGCTTGTCTGTAACGCTTCATTCACACTCTGACAGAAGGCAGCCCGCCACCATGATGGTGGGGATACAGGGGATGGAGCGGGGGGGGGGGGGGGAGACCAGCAAAGCTGACCTCGCCCCCCCCACACACACACTCCCTGGACATGGTGGCAAGAGTGGACAGAAGGGGGGGCCAGGTCTGTTCCCTGCAGGTAATGTGGGGTGGGGAGTGGGCCCAAGCAAGGGAAAAGACAGACCGCTGTGGTGGGAAGGAGGGGGAGAACAGCAGGCCTGGCCCGATGTGGTCACGGCAGTGGCTGGGGGAGGGTAGGAGCAGGTCTCCTGCTCCCCTCAGACCCGGGCCCACTCCTTCCCTAACCCCCTACCCCGGCATCGGCCCCAAGCCTGCTCTTCCTGTCCCCGAGCAGGACCAACGCGGGGAAGGGCAGAGCGAGCCCAAGCCAAGGGAAAAGCTGGGCTGCCACAGCAGTGGGCAGGAGAGACAGCAGGTGCAGCTCAGCCCAATACAGCAGCTGCAGGGGGAGGGGAGGTGCAAGCCTCCTCCCCAACTCAGGCCTGGGCCCACTCCTCCCTCACCCCTGCTCCCCCACATCTGGTTGGCCTTCCACCCCTCCCCACCCCCCACCGCCAGTTGGCCTGGGCGTGCTGCTACCACGCCACCCCAGCAGCCCAGATTCTCCCCACCCTTGGGCCCTGCCCTCCCCCCACCCCCATAAGGACCAGGCCTGCCCCTCCCGCCCC